TTCTCTCTCTCTCTCTTTCTCTCTCTCGCTCTCTTTCTCTCTCTCGCTCCCTTTCTCTCGCTCTCTTTCTCTCGCTCTCTTTCTCTCTCTCTCTGTCTTTCTTTCTTTCTTTTTTTATAAATACCTCATTTTAATACTTTTATTAATGCTGCGAGATTTTGATTATATGGAATAAGGGGATAGTTGCTCCTGTATGTAGGTAATGAAGGTAATTTTTATTTTGAAGGTTTTCGGCTCTCCGGGTGACGCAACATCCAGGGCAGTGATGCCTATTATTATCAATGCCCTCGATGCGGCGTCACCTGGACAGCAGAGAGCCTTCCCTTAACTCTGGCTGTGGGAGTCTTTATCGATTGCAATAATTCGTGTTTTAATTAAAAAGTACAAATATATTCAATATTTTTCGTGTGTTATTTTTTAAATGTAAATTTTACTTCAAGATAACAGTCTTCAGATCCCGGATCTTTCATGGGCGGGGGTGGGGGAATATTTAGTTGTTTTTTTAAGAGAGATGTAGTTACGATACGGTTTAAAGTTCACTGTAAAGCACTACCTATACATGCTTTCTAGTAATTTAGAAGTTTATAATATATTAAATATGTAAAATCCAAACCGTCAAGTTTTATCTAACTAAAAATAACGGACCTGGCGGAAAAATACACGACCCGGCAGAATTATATTTTAAAACCATCAACGCTTTAAAAAACATAATTCGTATTTTTGTTCATATTGTGGGTGGGTACATATTGTACCGACTCAGTAAATTTACCAATGGACGTGCCACGTGGTTGGAAATTTCATATTACGAAGCTACTCTTGTGACATTTGCCCCTGACTGACATTCAGCTCATTACGCACTGTTGTTTGGCAGGTCACGTTCTGAGTCAGTCAAAGAATTTTCTTGTTTCTGCGAAACACCAACGCATACGGAGATGCGAACCAATCAAAGGCCGGACCATGAGGAAACGACGTCAGTTCGATGAGTAGCAAAAACATCTCACAGTTTTTTTCTTCGACGAAAACGTCAAATATACAAATAAAATATAGGTTTCAGAAACGAAAATTATGCACCAGCCAATCACAATTACTTTTCGTGCGATCACGTCTATCCAAAGGCATCTGAACAGCATTTGTGTGTGTGCGCAGCGCATAAGCCGCTGCCCGGGTGGCCGCAGCATGGGGAGATCCAGTTCGACCACCTCAGCCTGAGGTACTCGCGGGGAGACCCGCCCGTGCTCCGCGATCTCTGCTTCTCTATCGAAGGGGCGCACAGGGTAAGATGCAGGCAAAACTTGGTGAGACCACCGAAAACTATCAATTATTTTTAGCTTTATGCTAAATGCTCTATTAAAAAATCGTTATACAAGGAACCTCCATGTACGTGAAAAATGCCAATAATATACGGTTTATTCTAACGTTGTGCATCAGTACCCTCCCCCCCCAAAAATCTTAATCCCCTGCTTGCACGTGAGATCCGGCGCCGATCTCGACGGTTAACTTCCAGATTTTCCCCTCACCAAGTATTTCGCAAGCATCTTAGATTGATTAGTGATTACGACGGCGTCAACTGCTAAGGTCTTTCATCCATTACGTATTTGCATGTTGTTATCGTGGAGGAGACGATCTGCCCTCGTTGCCGGCGCCGATCTACACGTCGGCTTTTCCGTTCCGCTCTTTTCGTTTCCGCTCCTTTCCGATATACGCGCCGGCGGGGTTTCCCACAACCAGGAATCTCCCACCAGCGGAGCCGGAACACGCCCTAAGCCTCCCGATAGTTGTGATAATGTAGTGTGTGTGTGTGTGTGTGTGTGTGTGTGTGTGTGTGTGTGTGTGTGTGTGTGTGTGTAAGTGTAGGGTGAGGATAGGACAAGGAACGGGAAGGAAAGATCGTGCGCGGTCCGCTTGCTACCTACCCAGTGTCCGTTTGCTATCTAGCTACCTAGCCAGAGTCGAAAATCCTGCCAGTGTGGAGAAATGAACCCTAGAACCTCCAGGCCAGAGCCACTGCGATGCCATCAATTGACGCCCTGACCCGCGTTCGCCCGCCCCTTGCCCTAGCGACGCGCCGCATTTGCGCGCAGGTGGGCGTGGTGGGGCGCACGGGCGCGGGCAAGTCGTCGCTCATCGCCGCGCTCTTCCGCCTGGCGCCGCTCGAGGGCGCCATCCGCGTGGACCGCGTCAACACGCAGCAGCTGGGCCTGCACGAGCTGCGCCGCGCGCTCGCCATCATCCCGCAGGAGCCCGTGCTCTTCTCGGGCACGCTGCGCTTCAACCTCAGCCCCTTCGCCGAGTTCAGCGACGCCGCGCTCTGGGCCGCCCTCGACGAGGTGGGTCTCTCCGCCCGCGCCGGGCGCCAAACCCCGGCCACGTGGAGCCGAAGGGCAATGCGGGCGAAGGTGTGCGCTATGCTGTTATTCTGCTGTTTCGCGCGAACCGGTTAAAATGATTGTAGTTTGCAGAACCGGTTGTTAAAATTATTGCTGTTCGCAAAACAGGTTGTTGAAACTTTTGCTGTTGGGTTGCTAAAATTATTGTAGTTCGTAGAATCGGTTGTTAAAATTATTGTAGTTTGCAGAACTGGTTGTTAAAATGATTGTAGTTTGCAAAATCGATTGCTAAAATGATTGCTGTTTGCAAAATCGATTGCTAAAATGATTGCTGTTTGCAAAATCGATTGCTAAAATGATAGCTGTTTGCAAAATCGATTGCTAAAATTATTGCTGTTTGCAAAATCGATTGCTAAAATAATTGCTGTTAACAGAAACGGTTGTCAAAATTATTGTAGTTCGTAGAACAGGTTGTTAAAATGTTTGTGATACGCTTAACCAGTTGAAATTTATCCCAATCAAGTTGTTACAATTATTGTAGCTCTGAATAACATATTTCTGATTCGGACGATCTCTCTTGATTTGATCTTCTTGCTGTTTGGGACATGACTTCTTTTCTGAAATCCTGGCTGTCTTGGACACCATACAACTGCTGACATTGGCATCCGGTATAAGAGAAGTACAGCATATTCACATACTCATCTAGCTGTCTGCTCACTATTGTATCCGGCATAATTGTTACTTCTTAAATTATTGAATCCATAAATTTACAAAAACAAGTTATTAAACTTTTTTCTGTAAGCGCCATTACCTTATAAACCAAATTAGTCTACTGGAATAAAAAAGAGAAATTATTGGAAATCATTGGAGAGAACCGGTTGTTAAAAAAAATAGAGTGTCAGCACTGTGTGCGCCTCACCGCGGAAGGCAGGGCAGTCAACTCAGTACGCAACTACGACGGTCTTGCATCTCTTTCCGCATTCAATGGTTATCAAGGGCTTTAAAATTCTCTCCTGCTATTCGACATCATCAGTATCAATTCTTCCAAGTTACCATTTAGTCTTTACCTATGACGCCCAACTGCATTAACTGATCTGACATATCCGAGCTGCCTCCTGATTTGTTTTTGTTGCGTATCGCGGACTCCCCACTATTGTCCTCTTCAAATTAGTCTTTGAGACATCGGAGTGCGGAAAAGAAAGAACAAGCAAAAGCAATACAGATTCATTCGAGTTCATCGATTCTGGCATTCATACGCTATACTTAATAACGTCCAAAAGCCGATAATCAGCAAATACGCAACAGTGTGTTTTCACTGAGTCTTTGACCCCCATCTCGATCAGGTTTTTGTCCAATTTCCCTAATCCTTGAGCAAATGCTGAGATAGCCCCTTGTTTTGCTTCTGGGCATAAATGTAACATCAAATTAACTTCTCCCCATAGCACGTCACACACAGTTTTTAACTGTTTTTGACGCAAATAAATAAATAAACATAAATATTTCAATCGGACGTGTGTCGTTCAATATATTTCGTAATACGTCTTGCAACGAAAAGTCATATAAACAAGAGATATCATTGCTCTTGGCTACCCGGTTGTTGCCGCGTCGAAGGCTGTGTTGCCTTCATTTGGACCATCTTATCGTGGTCTTCCTCAGGGCTGATCTGTGTCTGAGGAAGACCACGTGAAGATGGTCAAACGTCGATATCAGAGACTTCACCACGTCACCCAGACGGCCAAGGACACTAGCAAGATTACGGCCGCGGAAGGAAGACTTCAAGAAAGCCCATTTCTTGGAATAAGTGTACTCATATGCCATCTTTAGCACAAAATAATTCGTTCGCTAGTTCTTAACGGACGGCGGACTATTAAATCCTGAATGGACGCCGGGTGTTAAGAGGGCAGGAGTCGTTAAGAGAGTTAAATTTAGCATTTAGTACTACAGATTTACGGAAAATGAATATGAAACTATCATGTAGTTTCGGTTGAAATAACCAAGTCAAGGAACCGCGCGAGTGGCAAATGACATGTGACGCAGGTGGAGCTGAAGGACGCGGTGGAGGCGTTGGACGCCCCAGTGGCTGAGGGCGGCGCCAACTTCAGCGTGGGGCAGCGCCAGCTCGTGTGCCTGGCGCGCGCCATCCTCAGGGACAACCGCATCCTGGTGCTGGACGAGGCCACCGCCAACGTCGACCCGCAGTGAGTTATTTCCCCCTTCCTTTAGGGCTTCACGCAGTAGACGCTAGCTACGCTCCACAGCAGAGCTGCGAGCGGGCCCTGGCCCAAAACTTATCTTCGGGCCACTGGACCGGAGGGGGTAGCTCAGAGCATCAACTCATGTCTGTGCAGTGCCCCCGACCGCGAAGACCTATGTTCGAGTCCCGAGAGTTGCTTGTCAGCTAGATTGAACTGAATCGCTTTCCGGAGGAGCATTCTTTTTAGCGGCCGGCTGCTCTGTTCGGTAGTTTTCCGTGGTTTCTCCGATCAATACCAGGCAAATTCCGAAACAGTACTCCCCGGTACAACGGGTCAAGGACGCCGCGCGATATTTCCTTGCTCTTCCCTGTCCTATCCTCACCCCTTACACACACATGCTGGGAGTTTTGAGCGTGTCCCGACTGGGGCAGTGCTCCGCTGGTTGGAGATGCCTGGTTGAGGAAACTCTGCTAGCCGACGAAAGGTCGGCGCCAGATCTCACCATCCAGCGGAGGAAGATCACGGCCACATCACGAGGAAACATGCACTACACTTATGGGACAAACAACCTCCGTCGTTTACGCGCTCGCAACCAACAATAGGTCAACCACCAATGTTGCATTTGACCGATTGATTGATGATTTCGGGCGTCAACTGGTAAGGTCATTAATCCCGTCATTTTAGTGCATGCATTTATTGCGGGATGTGGGGGTGATTTTCACACCTAGATTGGGAGATCCTGCCCCGTCCTACACATCGCTTTACGGGAAGTTTCTCCCTCCAGCCATCTCCAACAGGGCACCGCCCTGTGCGACACTAATTGATGCCCTGAGCCATCTAACCCGATCTCTTGCATTTGAGCAGCGCTGATTTACATACCAGGCGGATACATTTCGAAACTTTCACGAGACTAATATGTATACGTGCACGTATTTATCAGCCCCCTCTTGATGGCACATTAGCAAACCTGCTTTACCAAACATAATTTTGAATCGAAGATAGCAACGAGCAATGTTGGTATCATTTAACACCAAGAAATATAAACTATTAGCATCGAAAAACGAGCCACAGACGTGATATAACAATACTGCTATCAAAATTATCAACGCTTCCATTCCTCTCGCATCTAGCAATGTGAGAGCTAAATGTACAATAAATATAAAGTGAAAACAATTACTTTTGTAAAAAAGAAGACTATTTATAAAATATTTTAATATAGTTTTATATGTACAATGTTAACGCAAATTAATTTGCAGGAAACTATTGGTATCAAATAGTAAAATTTTCATTGTTTTAAGAACATTTTGCTTATTGAAAACGCATTGTTCGTGAACAGAAAACTCGCGAAGTCCTGGCTTGTGTTAACTGAGAGTCATAAAAGTGGCACAAAATAAACTATTAAAAACAACGCATAAAGTGTATAAATTGGTGGCACTTTATCCTTTAGTATTAAATAAATTCCGTATTATCACAGTTTTTCCCAGTCTGAGACACAATTACCTCGGATAATTACGACACTTTCAATATTCATTAATTCTGATTAATACTGTGTTCTTTATTAAAAAAAATATGCTCTTCACATTTATTTTTCATTGCGAAATAAAAGAAACAAAAAATAAAAATACATAATCGTCTGAACCCAACAACTGATTATATCTAATCAATAAACGATATTGGTTTTGAATTTATTTCATTTGGGGTAAACTATGTCTCTGACTCAATGCACAATATAATTTGTTAATCATCTTTTCTAATTCATGCTTGTTTCTATGAATGCATCCTCTTATGACCACCTTTGCACTTCCTAGGACGGATGCCCTGATTCAGGAGACCATCCGACGTAAGTTCGGTGACAGAACAGTGCTCACCATAGCTCACCGCCTTAACACTATCATGGACTCTGATAAGGTGCTCGTCATGGATGCTGGTCAGGCAGTGGTATGTATAACCCGTGAAACTAACTAATACATCCGTTATACATGATAAACTTAATCCTTGCATGTAGATACTTTTATCTTTAGCTTATCTTAATAGAAAAGTAATTATCCTTCTAGTATAAAAGAAAGCCATTTTTTTCACATCCCTTTCACCTGTCCCGCATCAGTTACATGTGAAAAATTAAACTGGATTATCATCGCACACTGTTATCTGACAATATACACAATGTACCTAGATGTCTTAAAAATTGGTTGAATAGTCGGTGGCTGTTAGCCGTTTATGACCCATTTTTAAAAAACATACTTCACTATTTAACGGAGAAAAAAAAAAGTACTGTACGTGACTTAGGGGAAGGGGACATATAACCTACACACTTATTCATGAACTCTGGAATCCCTACCCTAGCTCTATAATGTAGTAGCAAAATACCCAGAGTTGCACGGAAGAACAGTTCTTTTTCCGGATGATACGAATATTCTTTGCAGTAAAGAAACCCTAAATAGAAGGGCATACAATATCAGATGTTTCAAATTGGTTCCATAATAGCAAATTAATAGTAAATGATAAGAAAAAGTTTCAAAGTAGTTTTCCATTTCAAATAAACATTTCTGCACTCCATTGAAAATGAACATTGACTGATGTAATATGATAAGGTAACACAATTTTTAAGACTCTCAATTCAGACAAAACCTCAAAAGGAACATCCACTTAAATGAAGTGAATTCAAAATTAAGTTCATTATACTATGTATTCAAAATTCTTTTAAATTCAGTCAGCCTTTACACTGCTCATTGGATGTATTTGGACAGAAGCAAATCCCAACCACATGATTTTTATGAACCTCTCTTTATTAATCTCAGAATTTTATCATTACCTTGTCTCTTGATTTATGAATAAGTGTTTTTGTCAAAAATGACTTACTTCCGAGTCGGAAAATTTTTTCAGCAAAAGCTTGTCTATAGCTATAACACTCAATGTATTATTCACATTCATCAGGTGTCAGTACCAATAGCTCACTAAAAAAATTCACATACAACACATACACATTGCTAGACATTAAAGGACTGAAATGGTTACACATGTTTAAGTCAAATAAAATCTTTTCTGTTATATAACTGTTTCTATAAAATTACAGACTATACCAAGCATCAAAATGGAAAATAATATCAATTTTAATAATTATATTTTATGTATTAATTATTATTATTATTATTATTATTATTATTATTATTATTATTATTATTATTATTATTACCATTATTTGGACTGTATAATTCTCAACAACCTGTGACAAGTATGGAACTTCAGCTTCTGGGTCAATGACCCCTATCTCGAGCAGGTTTTTCATCCAGAGTCCCTGATCCTTTGAGTAAATGCTGAGATGGCCCCTAGATTTGCTTTTGTATGTAAATTTAACTTCACCATCTGTGCACGTCTTCTAAACTTAAGTGGGAAATATAGTTATCCAAATGATCATTCTCCATGTCGCAGCAGGAAGTCAATTCCTTCACGAATGGCACAAATCCATAGCTAATTTGTTCTTGCAAATGCCAGAGCGAATATTTTCTTATCAATTCTTCCCCAAAGCACTCATTTCCTTCTGTAGTCAGAATTCAACTTATGGCTTACAGTAGGTAAATCCAGAATTAAAAAACAAGCTCTGAATACACTTCTCCCCATGGCATGGCACACATTTTTTAACTGTTTTTGATGCTTAATAAAGAATATGGCAAAAGGATCCCTGTCAAAATTTTCAGGTAGCCACAACCCTCTGTGCTCATTCCTAAGTATCTAGAGTAATACATCCACAGAATAGTATTTCAATAACAACTGTGCAAATACATTTATTATTAGAAATTATTTTATTGTCTCAAAATACAACTTATTATGTGCAAGACTAATTTCAAGCTTGAATTGCAGGAATATGATCACCCCCACATTTTACTGCAAAATAAAGAAAGCATATTCTCTGGCCTTGTGCAAGAAACTGGCAAATCAATGGCAGAAGAACTTGCCCAAATAGCTGAAAAGGTAAAGTACATAAGCAAAGATAAATTGCTAAGTTTGTAGTATACATCACATACAAAAAAGAGGTAATCTCTAAAAGAAGTTGGAGCATGTTATCTAATATAATTTTAATAATATAAATCTAGTCAGCTCACCTCCTGAATCTCTTTGTAAAAACTTTGGAACATTGCTATCAAAACAGGAATAGTCCTACAACAAAACTTCAGGAAGAATCCTGATTGCAGAGATAGTTTGGGATTAATAAAGAATAAAATTGCTTTCAAACATTTTTCTACCTTCAACTTTTTTGAGCACATTGAAATACATAACACTGCCATAACAAAAGGCCATATTTTATAAGAATTTACATAGCTTTAATTATTTTTTTTCCCGTGAATTTTATACTGCATATATTAAAGATTTTTAGCGTATAATATAGATTATATTTTAGACATTCTTACTGTTTATGAATCTGGACTCTAGATACGATGTATTAATTGCAGAAATAACATGTCTTAAAGAAATTAATCATGTATATGAAAGCAAAGTGTTAATTCTCTGCCAAATTCAAAAACTGTGCATCCATACAGCCAGGTTTTAGGAATTGCAGAGTGAAAAACTTGAAAAATATAAACCGAGTTTTAAAAATAAAAGATCATACTCAATATCACTCAAATATTAGTTTCCAATTGCTAAAAATACTCAATGTAAAAATTTTATTTCACATTTATTCAGATAAGAACTAATTATTTCAGAACTAATAATCTTTCATCAACATTAAACTTTACTTCTGTAATCCTTTGTTACAAAAATAATGTAATACTTTTGATTATTTTTTTCAGTCGTACAATCGTAAAAGGCAAACAGAAGACCTTGTTAAATCAAGACCAAAAGAAGACTGATACAATCGTAGTTCCTCTTACAACAAAAGTTTATGTGATGTGAGACAAACAAACTTCTTTGTTCCTGCTTTGAAGACAAAATGGTGTCAGAAAAACTTTGAATGTGCCAAGAATTTCAGCTGTTTGTTAATGGTGAAGTTAAGTATTTCCATGACATTTTGTGTAAGTGTAAGAAATGAATTTGAAAGATGTGCCTAAAAACTGAACTATTGTGTTTTTTTTTTTTGTTTTTTTATAACGCAATATCTTCAATTATTAAGAACAACATAACAGAAAAAAAGAAGTCAAAGTTAAATTCTTGACTAAACCATATCTTCTCAAAAGAAGGTAGTAATCAAATTGAAGGATTTTGAATACACATCGAAAAATCACAAGTATATTGTGTACAATACAAACAACAAAATTAATTTATTTGTTAACCAATTTATTTGTTAGTGATTAAAATTTTTAATATTTGATAACACTGATATATTAAGACACAAATTCCTTTGAAGGCAAAGGCACAGTCATTTTTTTTTTTTTCGAGAGAGAGAACAAAATAAATTATTAAGTACTTTCAACTTTACCAATGCAGTTTACATTTTGTTCGCAAAGCATGACCAGAAAGAAAATGTGTCAAATGAAAGAAGTTAAGTGGATATTCTTAATGACTCTTCTGACTTCAAACCAACACGCTGTGTACAGACAATGAAGCCAGTGTTCACAAGAAAGAATATTTCAGTGCACAAAAGTTCTTAAATTCAGGGTCATTAACTTAATATTCCAACGAGCAATGCATTTTGATTGTTTGATTGTGAGCCAATTGTGATAAGGATGAACCTTGCAAATAGTTTTTTGTAAAAAAAAGAAATAAAATATTTGGACATAATATTAAAATTTAAGTATATAAAATTGTGGTTAAATATAACTTCATATTTTGTACAATAATTGCATTTATAAAACAGTATTGTAAATAAAAAACAATAAAACATGAAATCATATTATATTGTATTATTATATTATATTGCGTTGTTATAATGTTGAAACTCTGACGTTGTGATGATGTCTTTTGTTTAAAAGTAAAAGTGCTTTTTCATACCACAGCAAACATCTTTCTCAGCTGACACACATTTATTTGTGAAGGTAATATTTCTACTATAAATTCGATATTATCTGACAGAACCTGATTCAACCCCAATGCTATTAGGTTTGTGAGGAGTAGGAGTCATTATTTTCTGCTCTCTTCTTTCCTTATTCTATTCTATAATTTTTCTTCCTCCTCTCTTTCTATTTCTGCATCTCCTTCCTTTCCAATTTTAACCTGCTGCCTTCCAGGAGGGAGCAGAGTCCCCAAAGGCTAAGGGAAGGAAAACCCTCAAACAAAACCATGGGTAGAGAGGAATCAGAAAGGCCTCTCTAGAGGAAGTCCCCAAACAAATCCTGGCCTGCCAGGTTGGAGGTTGAGCTATGGGCCAACACACCATTCCCATTAAAATCTAAACATATTAAAAACTCTAAGCAGCCTTTAAACGGACCCAATCAAAAATGACTTGAGCAACAAAACCGTCAATGCAAATTGCCACGTGGAACATACAGGGTATTAGCAAAAAGTATGAAGAAGTATTAGTCAGTTGGAAAAGTTAAATATAGACATTTGTTCATTAACAGAAACCAAGAAGAAAGGATAAGGAATTGAAGACTGCAGCAAATATATCAGTATTTATAGTGTGGTAAACAAAGATAATAGGGCTAAACGTGGAGTATCAGTAGCAAACCACAAAAAATAGAGAAAAAATACAAGAACTTGGAATGAGATCAATGAGAGACTGCTAACAGTGGAGTTAGATATGTTGTCATACTATGGTAATTTTATCAGCATATGCTCCCACTGAAGATGCGACTGAATCTTTAAAAGATTCTTTTGAAGATGAATTAGTGGCAATATTAGAAGGCAATCCTTCAAGTATGGAAATTCTGATAATCGGTGATTTAAAAGCCTGAACAAGAAATAAACAGAAAAACAATTTCTACCAGATACTCATTCTCTCCAAAATACGTCAGTTGGATAGCTTACAAAATGACTGAAATATATAGATAAAGATGTACATACACACAAATATTATATATTGCAATAAGGCACCATGTACTTGCTGGCCAATAGAAGGGTCATCCAAAGAAAGATCTAATGCACGAAGCAACACTGCATGCTCATGCCAAATGTATAAAAATATCTCAACAGACAGATGAACCAAGTTAAAAAAAAGAATTAGAAATGTATTGTCATATTTATTTTTGTTTGTTTATTATTATTATTATTATTATTATTATTATTATTATTATTATTATTATTATTATTATCTTACATTATCAAGTATCTACTGGTCGGTATGGTCAACCACACACAGGTATGGATGGACCAGGTGTGTGGTTGCTTTACTTGAAGTTCAGATGCTTATGACAATAGCGGCAATGTATTCAAAGATTAACTGTCTTTTGCATATTATATACATTCCTGGTATCCAAGTGAAAACTACAGTGCTCGAAGTGTCATTTTCGGGATCATCACTTCTCCCGTAGCTGATATTATTTATAGGCACAGTCGTCACTTTACTGAAGTTCCACTAAGTTGCAGACTTCATACGCGAGATTGGTATACTTCTGGATCTTCTCTTGATATTTTCCCGATATGTTATGGTATTGGGTATTGATATATCGATAAAAGAAAACCTGCTGTTGGTTTCTATTCAATGTAAACGTTATATCTGGTCTATTGCCGCGCACATGTTCTGTCAGTGGATTAAGGAACGATCCCAGTAGAGTGTGTGCTCACTACTTCAAGCACATTCTGAGGCACATATTTATAATACGGCACGGAAGGGCGAGTAAGCCGTTCTCAACCCATAATGGTGTACCTCGCTTCGCCACTTCATCATGCGCTCTTTTTGTATTCCACCTGTGCGTGGCTGCTACATCCACTCTGTTTAACGCGTTGATAGTTGCGCTTGCAGCCTCACATCTTTTTACACGAGTCGGAATGAATGGTAAGAATCTCTCAAATGTGTTTCCTGTTAGTTCAGATGTGGTGTATCACTTGTCCTGGATAGCTATCATGAAGGCTTCTGATCGTGCGAAGACGATCCCCGTGCTGGAGCCATGCGTGCGACCGCAGAGATGCGACGTCTTGTTTACTTCAGCTCGTGAGGGTACCTTCCATGCAGTGCCTTTGCTTTCCATAAGGTTATCTTCCTCTTCCGTTTTCAATGAATTGGTTGAACAGGCGATCAAGCTTTTTCAAGTTCAGAGGACTATAGTTTATTATCAACTACGCTCACCTGTTGCTGACTCTCCCACAATGTTCGCAAAAGTACACTATCTCATACGAGTGAAGCAATTTGAGGCTGTGTAGATTTATGAGATCCTACAAATACTCGCCCTCCTTGCGACCTTGGAAGGGTAAAACGCTCAGTACTTGAATTGGGGAGATGTTTTTCCGGTGTTGAGTCATAGCCGGTTTTCGAGTTGTTCTCTGGAGGTTGTCGAGGTCGTAATAGCTCGCATTAATAACGCCAAAAGGCAGTATGTCAGCACTGGAATAACAAATGAATTGATGGCCTGCACAAGGTTTCTAGCAGAAGAGTTGAGTTTTTAAGAGCCCATGCAATCGTTTACACACCTTCATTTGTTATATTTCTTAGTACAGTGGTGTTTGAATTTCGGGAGTGACTGGTGGAACCCAAGGTTATTTGTAGGTTTCATGGGGTTCATGAAGGTAAATGCTTTGTTCATTATCAGTTCCCAAATTTATAACTTGCATATGACGGCGAATGATATTACTCTCCTACACTATTCCAAACCAGAATTTCATCTTAAATGTCCGTCAGTGAACTTCTCCGCCATAACGTTTATTAAGTTGCCGCATATGACTCTCAGTGTCTGCATACAGCTTCAGCGTCATCCCATGTAAAGGAGATGTAGACACGAAAGAAGAGTTGAGTTCCCCTTTTTAAAGCGATTCCATAATTAGATGATTAAGTAGAGTAGAGAGGCGGATCAAGGCTAAACAGAAACAATACACACGACGGACTTTAAAGAGTCACCTGGAAAACCCTCGGCGGATGTGTATAGTATCTGTGTGGCGTAATTGTTTTCATTAGAGAGATAGAGTTTTGTATTCCATCGACTCATCGCAGTTTTCAGGAAGTTTTGGATAAACGGGTGGACCTTGTATACATCAAAACATTGAAGGAGCCAACAATGGGACCACGGTGTGAATGCTTAGCGTAATCTATGTAGCAATACGAGCTACCACAGCTACTTCTCACATTCGATTATACTCACAGCATTGCCCCATAAATACAGTGTCTATAATGAGTTGCTGCCTTGCATCCTGAGATCCAGGTCTACATCCTTTCCTGTTCATTTGCTAAGATGTTCCTGTTCGCTCAATGTGTGTCATCATCATGTTGCGAAACACAAGATGTTATGAGTTATTATTATTATTATTATTATTATTATTATTATTATTATTATATGGACAAGTATGTCCATTATTTGCAAAAAGAATACAATAAAAAATTTGCATGTATTTGCAACATATTTATAAAAACAAACTTTTATAAAGAAAAAATTCAATAATAGCATATGAAATATATTTAGTTCGCTAGTGATAAAAAAGCATATTTATCTCTTTTACATAAATCAATATTCAAACTGTTGACTGATTTGCAACACTGATTTATAACATTATTTGCAGTGTAAGATTGACGGTCAAATTTAATATCAAAAATATCTTTGGTTCTAGAATTAAAGGTAGGTGTTTCATACACTATCTGGTTTTGCAAGATTTTGCAATCGACCTCACCCAAAATCAGTTTTCTTAAAAACAACAAGTAGTTCAACTCTCTCTGAGAACTCAGTGAAGGAATGTTCAATTGCAGAGCCAAGTCAATATACTCATGTTTAAGATATGTATCTTCCAATCCCAAACCACAGGCTAATATTCTGAAAAATTTGTGTTGGACTGTTTCAATTTGTGATTTTATACATAAAAAAAATCACAGAAGAGTATATCAATATTGGCTTGACGAGCATAAGACAGTGATCTTCAGACCATTACCGAGTGTAATTCGTGGCAGAATCATTTAATGAATCCCAACACTTGGTTTGATTTGACTATTGTGTGATGAAAATGATCCATGAAAGTCATCCAGGTATCAAAAATCACACCAGATCTCTAACGGTATAGACACACTAGTGGAGTGAGATTCATCATATAATCAGAGGTTTTATTAGATCTAGATCTTGAAAAAGTTATAGTTTTACATTTCGCGATATTGAGAAAAAGATTGTTCTTCATGCCCCATGCACATAAGACATTTAGGATGGTTTGCATAAGGCCTCTGTCTTCATCGGATTGGATTTTTAAAAAAATGACAAGGTCATCAGCAAAAAGCAGATATTCCACCTCTAATATACTGTCGCATTTGTCGTTAATAAAGATGTTAAATAAGAGAGGGCCTAAGTGTGACTCCTGAGAGACATCTGAAGATGCCTCTGTAGGATCCAAAACAATACTCTTATATGAAACCATCTGAACTCGATGAGCCAGGTAACTGTGAAACCACTGTGAAGTAACAGTCCACTGACCCCCAACCATTCCTTTAACTAGCAAAAATCACATGGTTTACCAAGTCCAATGCCTTGCTAAAATTTGTGTGTATGTATGTATATATATGTTATATATAGTTTATGTTCCATAGCTTCACATATATAGCAAGAGTAAAAGGACAAATTAGCTTCTATATTTCTCCCAGACATAAAACCAAATTGTCTATCCGAAAGATAGGGATAAATAAAAATTCTGATTTTATCCAAAATCAAGGCTTCAAAAAGTTTTGGGATAACACACAGAATGGAAATCGGTGTTATTCTTGATGTCATTTCTGTCACCAGACTTAAAGATGGGTAGTATGAATGAAGACTTTACCTACCGCTCAGAAAAGTGCTCTCGGTCAAAGACTTTCCTAATAACAATCCGAGAATTTGTGAGAAAATGAATTTACAATTCTTCGATAGTAATAGGAATGCTGTTTGTTTTCAACTTTTTAAATCTGCGCAATATGTCAGCTACACCAATTTCCAAACCACACAGTGCCAGATACCAATTTCCAAACCACTCAGGAAGGATTCAACTGGACCATCATCAATAGTGACATTAGAATTCTTGTATAAAGATGAAAAAATATCTCGCAAACCCATCCACGATACATTTGGTATCATTAAAAGCTGATGAGTCAGTGCATAGTATTTGGAAGGTCTCCGCTTTCCTTTTTTGAATTAACGTATTTCCAAAAATTTGTGCAGGAAATGTAGAGTTTACAATTCTTTTCTTATGTACATAAAGATCTAGACTAGTATACAAATAGTAATAAAATAAAGTAACTAAAATGTTAACATCACCATCTAAGGATTCAAGACAAGAATATAGATCACAAACATTGCACTATCAAACCATAATCAGCCGTAGAGTAATCATTCCTTCATTCCTCTAATTTTCAAAGTTACAGTTCACTTGAAGAACACATGTAACACTGAGTGGCGGATGATACTCATCCGAACACTTGACAGAGAAATGCTCTAATCAGTAAAAATGAGATCCAACATTCGTTCATGATTATTTACAATATTTTTTGGTACAAATTTATGAAACTGACAGTTTCAGCTAACACAGTCGCATAAGATTTTTCGAGTGTCATGATATATGAATTAAATGTAGGAAAGCTTGACAGCTTGTCCCTGTACCAGTTAACATCAGGAAGATTATCGTCTCCGAAAATTTCAATAATTTTTTACCTAAATATAGAATGTTCTTTGTTCAATGAACTTATTTTTTTCTTAAATCACCTTTTCGTTCCCAAACATTAGGACACAAATAAATTACAGCATCCCAAGGCAAGGTTCAAATTAAAAATATATTTTCAAAAATAATATTTCTTCTTATAAATCTTTTATTCTAATGTTTCAAAAAGATAATACCATGGTAACACAATTTCAATTTTTTTCTAGAAATATTTTTCATTGCATTTTTACTAATTAACATTTATTTCTTTATTTTATACTGCATATTTTAAAGATTAATCATGGCATATCTTAGATACTTTTACTGCATAGAAATCTGGGCTTTTCTCATAAGCGATTCTAAATTTTCATAGCAGTTTCATAAACGATCTTCCTATGTAATTAATTAATGGCAGAGCTAATTATTTTAATGTCAAGTTAATGGACTTCAACGTTATATTAATTTATGTAAACGCCAATACTTTTTTTTATAAACGATTTTTTGAATCTATGTAAATGAATGTGAATGTATGTGAATCTTTATTTCAATTAATGAGCAACTGATTCTACCAAAAGTTAAAACAATAATGCCAGCTTCAAAGTTGAATCAAAAGACAAAATCAACTCAATAATTTAATTTTTCCATCAGTGTTTGCAGTTACAAGGAAATGCACAGTAAAGAAGATGGATATAATTTGATGATTTAATATTGTTAGCTCTTTGGAAGACAATGTACACACTTTGTGAACAAATATTTGACCTGTCAAAAAGTTGACTAATAAATATTAACCATCATTAACAATCTTGATTTATAACTGTTTCTTGCATTTATTATTTTGTGTGAATTTTCAAAGAAAATTGCTGGAAAGAATAAAACTAAACTGTCTCTTTTGAGAACACTGTGGAACAGATTAAATCATACAAAGATATGCTATTATTTGATTCTGTCTGAATTTCACCTAGTTTTAATCAAATGTAATTCTACACATCACAAGGTTGTGGTTGAGTTATACAATATTTCTCTTGAAAAATACATTGAAGTCTCTTATGGAGTGTAAAAGGAATGTAAAAGCTAATATTCGTAGGTACATGTTATCTGTATTGAATCAGTGATTTTGAAAGGGAAGCAAGTTTACTTTTATCGTAGAGTTTAGATATACATTTTCTTTGTTATTCTGCTAGCTATAAGTGTAAAAATGAAACTTGTCCAGCTTAAAGTATGAGCTCTACTGCCAACTAAAAATTTGAAAGTCTGGAAAAGAGAAAGAAATCCAGGACTAGTTTCTGATCCTTTCACAGAAGAAAAGGTATTAGCAGCAAGGAAACGCCTGATAGGAAAATTTATTTTATGATTGGTATATTGTTTTGCAAGTTCAAAAATTAGGAAATAAATTTTTTCTCTTTTTTCCCACTAAATCTTTTATAAAAGAAAAAAGTCTAAAATATAAAAACAGTTCTGTTTATTTCACAGAAATGCAAATTTGAAGTTACAGAGTAGCCCCAGCATTCAACAACATAGTTCCACAACTTCTGTATAGAACATAAATACCCCAGATGCCAATTGTTGATGTTAAGTTTTTTTGCTGTTGTTTTTATTCTCAGAACTATGGAAAAATGTTATCTCTTTAAACCACAGATTCAATTGAAAACATTTCATTTAACTTCAAACAGCTGTAACAGACATCTAACACATGTACATAAAACTTTAGATATGTTTAAAGAGAAGAAATAATGGCAATAATAACATGACGCCAACGTGCAACTTCATGAGACATGTCAAGATAACTATAGACTTTATAAAAATTAAAGAATAGGAAAAAAATTGTGATCAACAAAAAGAAATATTTAAATTGTGCATAAAAACAATCTTTATCTACATAGAGCTTGATACCTTCTAGATGAATAAATATTTAATAGGACAAAAACACAAACCACACACACACACAAACTAAGAACAAAATTATACTTGTTTTAGTAGGAGAATGGAAATAAACTATAACAATTATCAAGTTTCACACTGTAGAATTTATTTTAAAAATTTTTACATACAAAGTAAAATGGAATCTTCTGCAAAACAATTAATCCGACCATCCATTTTAACAAATTTGACTGTAAATCATTCTCATATTTTATTATTTCTTTCTGCTGAAATAAGGTTACATCTATCAGTAACCAAAGCCATTTAAGTAGGCATATCTATTAATTTAAACATTGCTCTCCCATTTTTATAACTTCAAAATTCTACTCAAATCAACAGATTCCATAATAAAACAAATTTCAGTAAAAAAACAGCACACAATAAGTTCATGAAGTTTAAAACCCTTGCAATATGCATTAATACAAACATTTTATGAAAATAGTAAAACCTAACAGGGCAATAAAACAGGTTAGAATGCGGTTTGGTCTCTCACATAGCAATACAATGGCTGTGAGTAAGGTTTGGTCTTTGAATATAAGAGCTAATATTTTCAAAGCACAATTCAAAAACACACACTTTGATCTACTCACTGTCTCATCATTTATATTTTTCAAATTGTAATATTAATTCAGTCTTGTAATAAATGACCTCCAGTGGATTGGGAAAGGTTACAGATTTGTATTTTACCAATGATACATATTCAAAGTACAATTAAATACTTCAACATAATTACCTTTGGTTTCTAAAAAAAAAAAAAGTGAGAAAAATGGTGGTACTCATTAACGTATAGAATTCCATTCCTTTCCACATTAAGGTGTAAAAGTTATAAAGATAGTATTCCAAGCAAAGAGATCCAATGTTGTAGTTCTCCAAGTGGAAGCACACTGAAATTTATCTAATGATATTAAGATTCATAATCTAGGAAAGAATATGGTCTAGTAACCAACAATGTAAATACACCCACTTCCTTGTGCAGAATTAATTACTGGAAATAAGATTTAAAATCCACTGAAAAAATAGTACAAACACTCCACATACTAATCAACAATATTTTTCTTCAAGTTCTTAGTACCACTCCAGTACATCCAAACTTCTCAATATATCACTAAAACTAATTTTCCAACAAATGTAATACTCATTCACTAGATTTTGACGATAGACATAAACCTGAGATACAAATAAAAGCTACAAAAGCCAAAAGGCAAAACACTTATGTAGAAATTCACAGATAACAAACAAAAATTGATACAAAATACTCAATGAAATAGGTTTTCCTGACTTTCATTTAGAGTTGCAATTAACTTGGGAGTGCATGGCTGCTGCTGATTTCAGATTTTATAGGACAGTAGATTCTAAACAAAACTAAAAATGAATGCACAGATCTTCAAATGTAACTAGATTTAAAGAGAAAACTGTCGGATTCCAGTGTAAAATAAATTAAGGTGAAATAAAGACATTCATTTACTTGGTGTCTAACAAAAATTGTACATTATGACAAATTTTCTAAAAATTACACATTACGACAAATTTTCATTATTCACAAAACTTGTGACAAAAATAATATTTGTTAAAACCATTATTACCTACCAACAATTTTTTTTAGAACAAGCACGTTGTTTGAAGAAATTCTCATTCTCTCAAACAGGTATGCTGCCTCATCTTTGTTATATATACAAAGCATAAAACATCTCACTCTTTTTCTAATTACTTTTGTCTTCGACTCCCGTGAAAGAACATTTGGATTACTTCAACTACAAATTTCACATACGTAACATCAAATAAGCTGTAATGTCCCATTTTTAACTAGAGTAGCAACTCCACTGTACAGAGCCATATGTTGAGAGTCTTTTACCATCGTCAAAGGTTCATCAGTGTCATCCATACCTTCTAGCATTAGGCCTTCTGCAGTGGAACGAGCTCGAAGAAATACATAACTTTTCAGATTAGGTTCGACTTTCATTAGCTGCCTGTCATATTTTTGTACATTTAAGGGCATATGGCGCAAAGCAACTCTCTCAAAATGCTGCTCAATATTATTTTGAAATTCTTCAGCAAATTTCTTCTCTCCAGGAGATAAATATCTTTCATCGGGATCTCTTGTTGAGTCTTCTTCAATAATATGAGTACAGAATTCCTCAATTTTTTCCAACCTTGTCCTCAAGAAACTACTAAGTACATATCTTATGCGGTCTAGTTCCATTCTGTGTATTTCCACGCGTATATCACTCTGATCTACCTTTTCAAGGTTTTCTTCCATTCCACTTATTTGTTCGAACATGCAATCAACAATGTCTGTCTGGTGGGGTAGTAGTTCTGGACTGAATTTTTCATTCAACCATGCATTCTCCAGTGTCTCCAATACCTGCTGAACTGTCACGGTCTCATCGTCGCTCAAAGCAACTTCATTATCTAATCCAAAACTACTATCCATTCTAGCTAGGAATCAGCCCCTGCGGTACCACACGATACAATAACGTTATACCATCAACACCATCAACTGTACTTCTAAAACAAGAATATTTACAAGTAACACTCCGCTCTTCTGGCACCTAGCGAGTCGCACACATTCACACGCATATTCCCGCCACGCCATCTGTGGTTCAGTGAAGATTCGTTCCTTGAGATGCGAATTCAATACGAACGAATAAAATGACCGGGCGATTTAATTAACCGGTCTCTTCGCTCTACATTTATATTGAGAAAGTCAATACTAATTAATACCTCAGTTCTCAAATTAAACCTTTAAGAGGGAAAGGTTACCTACGTAACGAACGCGAAGCGAAGCCGAGTTCCTCGAATGTCGTCGCACTTACAAGACGTGAAACACATTAAAAGAAAAGGAAAGGAAAGGAAAAGGGAAAGGAAAAAAAAAATCATAAAAAATTAATAAATATTTCTTTTAAGAAAATATTTGTAATCCTTGGTGTTCTCTGGTAAAATAATTGAATGCATTTTCAGTTCATTGTTTGCATGTCCTGGCATTTTAATGCAAAAGTGACAGAAAAAGTTATTGATGCATTTAGAACAGAAAGTGAGGTTTTGGTGTACGAATGAAATTATTATGACTGCGGCGATGAAAGCAACCAAATCCAGAATTTTGAAATGAGTACGCCATAGGCAATTTCTTACGTTTGCAAAATTTATAATTTTACAGTGACAAAAATGTGTTAGTACTATGTACTAAACATGTTTAGTAAGCGTTCATTAAATAATTTTTTTTGTATTCTAAACTAATCGTAGAAATACCGGCAGTGGCCAAACATAGGCAAATAGCGTCTGTAACCGTTCTGATTGGCTTGGGTTTGCCAGGTACCCAGGTTACGGAAGTACGGTCCACGGGGTCGTAGCATAGGTGGCAGCTTGACACACCCATTCCCTAAAACTACGTGGAAGAAGGGAGGGGAAGAAAATATTCCCTTTCACTATTATGCTTCGCTACTATTCGTTTAGTAATTTTCACTGCAACATGTTTAGTAAATATTACGACATACTAAAGTGAACCTTGCTATAGTGCGTTAGTATGTTTACCTAAACAGCAGTTCTGTGAATCAAAGAACTTTTTTCTTCCAAAATATACTATATCGTACAGTTCAATCGACCACCTGATTAATTGTATGAACGAAACATTTTTCTCCGCCTAATACTTTAAGTTGCGTTCGTTATTTTTTAGTACGAATACATGAAAACTTTTCGTTTTGAATTCTCTTAAGATTTTCAACATGACAGGCGCCAGGTATGTTGATTCATGTCCTCCAGTTTTTTGTTTATTATATCGTTGATAGATGGCATAATAGGATATTCTTCTCTTACAGTGAAAGTTTAGTCAAGAGTTTAATGAGAGAAAATGGCTCATGCACAGAATGTAGTCAACATACGATTTTTAATTGTTGATTTGAAAATAGAAATACTCTGGATTTATTTCATTTATAAAATAATTAAATATTTTTTTGAATTGTTAAATTCTTTATATTTGGAGTTATGAAACAATATAATCATAGAATAAACGAACAATGATGTTGACATGAATAATACACTTACTAAATAAATGATATCAGCATCATCGATTTCCACTTGAGTCTGTGGCTAAGTAAAAACGTTGTGGTACAAATGGGGAATTTCATGTGGGGTGAATTTTACTGTTTTTTGTACATCGTTTTTTTCTATTCATTGGAAGAACAGCTGAGTTATAAGCTTTCTTGAAAGGGCAAATCTGGACGTGCCTTCCCTTTTGACAACATGAATGAGTTCTTGATAAGCCCATCACGTGCTACGAGGTAGCCAAAATATTATCCATGATACTGGTTCACTTGGAAAGAGTCACACCAGGCTCACAATGAGGACTGTCAGGAAGAGTAGGAAACTTGGTCATCTTCTTAAAATAGTTCGACCTCCAGGTATTGAAGTCTATGATCTCCTCGGTGTGTATTACCTTTTTCATGAAGCATTTAGGCGTTTCCTAGCTTATAACACTAGTTCTGTACGATGATCAGAAACTAGTCCTGGTCGTTTCTCTCTTTTCCAGATATTAGACATTTTAGTTGGTAGTCGAACACGTACTTTAGGCTAGACGAGTTTCATTTTTACATTGATATGACTGGCAGGATAACAAAGAAAATGTATATCTCACTCTTTTCACGAAAAAAGTGAACTTATTTCCCTTTTAAAATCACCGATTCAATATTTAAGGATGTTGAAGAATCTAGAAGCAATTAACACCAGAAATGTTGATATAGATATTCATGGAGAAATAAGAATATTTTAAAGACTGTAAAGATATGAATCAAATAAACCACATTACAGAAGAAGTAATGTTTCAATAATTCGACTCAAAAGTCAATTTCAACAATGTAATGGTCATAGCCATATTGAACAACTTACTAATAATCTATTTCCACAGAAATATATTTTCCTATTCATGCTCATTGTTTTATTTATTTTTGTCAAAATTTTTAACGTCATCCACAGTATTGTTAGTGTATTTAATGTTAAAAAGTACAATGAAACTAAAATATAACATCGGTATATCAAAGCACATGATACTGACATCATTCTTAAATCAAAACGCTTTGTCTATGAACCAAAAAAGTTAAAATATTGAGCAGGGAGCACGAGAATTGGTGTACTAATATACTGCTTTTTTCTCAAATTCTTGTGAAATGAATTTGAGACTAGTTACTCACTTCTCCATGCTAGACTTGACTTGGGTATTTATAATGGTATGGCGCATATTTTCAGTGACGTGCACTTAAATTCTGTAAACTTCGCACAGTATTTAGAATATTTATATAATTTTCAATAGAAATTACTCCAAGGTATTATTAAAAACCCATACTTACAAAAAATATTATCCTTTACACATATTATTTAATTACACAATTTAATGCTTGTAGAATTTGAAATTATTTTTCTAATTGATTTATATTAGATATGAATAATATTTCGGTTGGTAAGAGCTCACATTATTGATTGTAAAATATTTAAGAAGAGGAATTTATGTTAAATGCAATAACAGCCCCAGAATTGTGTCGCGATCCCAATATGCGTTATTTATTGGTTGATTGATATTTCTGGGCACTTCAACTGCTTAGTGTAGTGAATGTGGCTGTATTCCTCCCGCGGTGGGAAATGAGATCCGACGCTGAATGGTGAGAAGCCTCTTCATTGAGCTTCGAGTCTTATTATTGCCTAGCTTATTTATTTATGAATATGTAATTCTTGTCAAAATCGACTTAAATAACGATTGTAACAGTTGTTCATTACAAGAAATTCAAATATAAAACATGTACCTTACTTTACAACATGTTGCCAGATGACAATAAATAATTAAGCTGAATACACAAGTTTAAGTTAAAAATAAAATATTTTCTGCTGCATTACTGCATCTGTGCAATTATAGTCTCTACTGATCATTACATAAAAAAATAATTTATATTTAGCAAAGATATAAAATGTATTAGTTTACATTTGTATTATAAAATATTAAAAATCTTTCATATGCCTGTAACAAGTAATCTACTACAGCGTCTGGCTCAATGACTCCCATCACGATCAAGTTTTCGTCCAGTTTCCCTGATCCATTGAGCAACTGCTGCTGGCCCCTTCTTTTGCTTCTGGACGTAAAGGTAACTTCACTATGAGCACGTAGTTCGTCTATTGTTGCAAATACGTGTTATATAAATCTGTGGCGAAAATGTCTAGTTTCGAAATGTTTATAACATCGCTTTATTGGTATTTTTATTCATCATTTTAGTATTTATGGTTAAAAAGTTTGGGAGTGACTCTAAAGCTCAATAAAACGGGCGGATATTGTACTTCTCCCCTGCGTCACATACAGTTTACACATTCTTTGAAAAAAGAAATTAAATCAAAAAAGCTTGTCCCGGCTGGGTCGGTGCCCCTCATCAGGGCAAACTTAAAGCTCTCGACTGGTATCGCAACTAGCGCGTGGTAGTGCAGTGCATGTGTGTGTGTGTGTGTGTGTGTGTGTGTGTGTGTGTGTGTAAGTAAGGAGTGGAGTAAGTAAGGTGTGTGGAAGTAAGGATAGAACAAGGAAGAGGAAGAAATCATCGCGCGCGATCCGTGGCCGTTTCGTGGGGGTACTTTTCCGTCATTCGCCTGGTGTTGATCGAAGAAACCACGAAACACTAGCAATAGGAGCAGCCGGCCGCTAGGTTATCCTCCAGACAGCGGCTGAATTCGACGTTCTTATCTAGCTAGAGTCGAAAATCCGCAGCCTTGAATCTCTGTCAGGGTCATTACACAGACAGCGGCAATGTTGGCTCAGCCGGTCGCATTTGTGTGTGTTGCTGCTGCAGCTTGTCGGCGTGATAATTTGTATAAAATATGCATTTGATACACCTGAAGAGCCAAAAAGCAAGCTGCAAATTGCTACAGATTTAAATGTTGGGTCATCAACAAGTGTCAGCGAGCAAACCATTCAACGAGACATTAACGATATGGGGCTTCGGAGCCGAAGGCCCACTCGTGAACTCTCGGTGAGTGCACGACACAAAGCTTAACGCCTCGCTTGGGCCCGTCAACACCGATATTCGACTTTTGGCTAAAAACACGTTGGCTGGTCTGACAAGTCTCGTTTCAAAATGTTTCGAGTGGATTGACGAGTACGAGTATAGCGACAACCTCTTGAATCCATGGACCCTGTATGTCAACAGGGAACTGTTCAAGCTGGTGAAGGTTCTGTGATGGTAGGGGCACCTGCTGTTGGAGTGATATGGGACTCCCGATACGTCTAGATACGACTCTGACAGGTGAGACGTACGTAAACACCTGATCACCTGCACCCGTTCATGTCTATTGTGCACCCGACGGACGTGGACAATTCCAGCAGGACAATGCGTTAGCCCACACGCCCAGAACTGATACAGAATGGCTCCAGAAACACCCTTCTGAATATAAACACTTCCACTGGCC